GAAACATTGTCTTCGGTGGACACGAGAGCGAAATTTGCAAACAACATCGCACGATGGTTTGAACAGATCCAAGTGATTACAACTGATGTTGAAACCGAGTGTCAGCTCTTTAAGAGCGGCATGCTATAGGCCTCCGCCGAATGTTGCGGATATAAACAGGTTGGCTTGCCGTCTGGAGGTCAGAAAGGATCTTAATGGTGGACACGAGAGGTACAACTGGGAGTTAAAGAGAAGAAAACAGGTTTAAAGTAATGGTTTGGAAACAAGGAGCCTTCTATTCGCGTGTGATATGTCGAGCCACGCAAGGCGCCAGCAAAAGCAGTGGCAAAAGCCAAACCTGATTCCTGGGAGAAGTTCGTTGAGGAGTTGTAGTCGAATTTCCACACGGCAAACAAAGTATTCTGGCAGACCATCCCCCGACTCCGAGGTGAAAAGACTGACAGTCTCACAGTCTTGAAGGACAGGTCTGGACACCCTCTTCCCAAGGATGATGACATTCTTCCGTGATGGACGGAGTACTCTGATGATCTCCTTAACTCCGCACAACCGCAGGAAGACTAGACTGGACTGGACACACACAGCAGTAAGCAACGGATATTACTATCTTTGTAGATGAAATTACTTAAGCTGTGAAAAGCTCTAAAATGGAAAGGCTTCTTTAACTGATGACATCCGCCCTGAAATGCTAAAGGCATTAGACGAACAAGGCATGTGCTGGCTTACACGTGTCTGTGAAACTGCGATGACTGCGGGAAAGACACCAGCGTACTGGAGAACGGCACTTATTGTACCCGTATTCAGGAAGGGAGACCACAAGGAATGCTGCAATTATAGGGGCATAACGCTATTGAGCCTCCCAGGTAAAGTCTACGCAAAGGTGTTAGAAGGAGGTGCCGTGAATTAGTTGGCCTCAGAATCCAAGAAGAGCATTGCGGCTTTCGGATACATCGAAGCATATTTGTCCATAATATCTGCCATGCGCCGGATTGATGACAGATCGTTGGAGTCCGCCTGTTCGTGTACATGTGTTTTGTTGACCTACAAATAACCTATGACTGGATCGCACGCAACAGTCTGTTGTTTTGCCTTCGTGCATACGGGATAGATGGCAAATTGCTAAGGACCATCCAGTCACTGTATTCTAATAGCAGGTGCTGCGTCAGAGTTAATGGCGTTAAGTCGAAACGATTCAACATTCGCACTGGACCCGCGAAAGCTGCG